TGTTTGCAACGAGTAGTCCTCCATCCTGGTGAACGTTGCGCTGAAACGCAAATGCGCGCGGCGCTAAGGCTTATAACCACATTCTGAAGCTGAGACAGCTGCAGGATTTTGAGACAATTTTCGCGTTGCCAAGGCGAGAGCCCCACTTTGAAACGTAACCGCCCTCCGAACGAATGTGCGTGGCGCTGACGCGATAGCCACACTTCGATCAGGCACAGGCACCGCCTTCCATCCGCGGAACGGCTGCATTCTTTTTTCAGGTGCGCGGCGCCAATGCGAGAGCCCCTTTTGAAATGGGTATGGTTTCCATCCTTGAAGCGGTTGCAGTTTTTGCAGGCGAATCTGCGCAGCGCTCAAAGCGAGAGCCACATTTTGAAACCGACCCCCTCCATCGGTGAAATGTTTGCAATTTGTAAGGCGAATGTGCGTGGTGCTCAGGCGAGGGCAACATCTTGATAACGACCCCCCTTTGTCAGTGAAATGGCTGCAAACTTTGATTTCCGTTCGAGGGGCTCAGGCAGTACTTGTATTCTGAAAACGGCCCCATTCCAGTGAAACGGTGGATGGTGGTGGTGGTGGTGATGATGATAATGATGCTGCTGAGGGTGTTGATGCTGACTGTGGTGATTATGATGATGGCGATACTGCTTCTGAGAATATTGATACTGATGAGGATTGATGGTTCTGGTGGTGGTGGCGGGCATGATGTGAATTAAGATCTCGATGCTGATGGTAATGTTGATGACGCTGATGATGGTGGTGATGATTTCGCTGACGACGGTGGTGGTGATGATGATCTGGATGGCATTGGTGACGATGGTGAAGATGATGATGGTGATGATGATGATGATGATTATAACAGTGATGATTGTGATGATGGTGCTGATTGTGATGATGATGCTGATGGTGATGATGGTGATGACGACGCTGACGATGATTATGACGCTGAAGGCGGCGATGATGACGATGCTGCTGCTGACGACGACGTGTATGATGATGTTGCTGATGATGTTGATGATGATGACGGTGCTGATGCTGATGATGATGCTCATGCTGATGATCATGATGCTGACGGTGAAGATGGTGATGCTGATGGTGATGATGTTGATGCTGATGATGACGATGTTGATGGTTTTGCTGATGACGATGCTGATGCTGCCGATGGTGCTGACGATGATGATGCTGATGCTGATGCTGATGAGTATGATGATGATACTGCTGATGCTGATGGTCCTGATGCTGATGATGATGCTAATGTTGCTGCTGTTAATGATGATGCTTCTGGTGATGATGCTGATGATGATGTTGATGCTGATCACGATACTGATGATCATGGTGGTGATGATGACGATGATGCGGACGCTTATTTTTCTGATGCCGATGCTGATGCTGCTGCTGCTGACGACGACGACGATGACCATGAAGATGATGATGATGCTGACGATGATGATGCTGATGATGATGATTATGATGATGATGATGATGATGCTGATGATGATGATGATGATGATGATGATGATGATGATGACCGTGTGGTGGTGGTGAGGAGGAGGAGGATGAAGAGGTGGAAGAGGTATGAGGAGTAGTGCCCCCTCCTCTCACTTCTCGGTGGCGCGCACGGGAGAATCTCCGATGGACGCCGAGGACCGCTGCCTGCGCTGGCTGGGGAGGAGGGGAGGCTGGTCGGCAGATGATAGGGCATCAGGGCAACGGTGTTGCAAGACTGGGCTTGCTGCCAACTCATTGTCAGGTTTGCCAAACATATTGCACATACCCACTCGCCTGCTCGTCGTACGTTTTCGTTGCCGCATTGTAGCGTTTTGTGGCATACTTTACGTCCTCGTATTTCAGTTTTTGAACATACCATCTGGATCGGCTTTGGGCTCTAGTTTGTTGTTATGCGCAGTGCTTTCTATACGTTCCGGTTTGTGTCTGGGCTGGGCGTCCCAATGTTTCCCGTGTTTATGGTGATCTTCATTCAAGAGGCTTATGCCATTCCGCCGGATACCGGGCGAACTGGGGGTCCTTTGGAAGTTGCTGGGGCGAGGTAGGGGCTTGAAAGCCTGAGGTTAGGGCTGCCATGACATGAGGTGGTCTATCCACTGTCGCTGGGGGCATGAGGATATGAGAGACAGATAATGATAAGGAGGAGGAGGAGGACGCACGCACGATAGGTTGTCCAGGAGAGGCAATCTGTTCACTTGTAGGGACTTTTGAGGCCTCGAGGGGAGCTTTGGGAGGTGTCTGCAGACTTCTTTTGTGTCTGGTGGGTTGGGGGCCTCTTGTGGCCTCTTGGCGGATTCTTGGGCGCCTGCTGGCGGTCTTGGGGGTCCTCGTGGGGAGGAGGGCTCGACGTGTCAATTCGAGTTACATCTGTTGGCCCGCCATTTGGGTCCTGTTGGGGTTGGGGTCCGCTTGGGGCGTCTTGCGCCGTCCTGGAGCCCTCTTGGGCCGTCTTGAGGCTCTGTTGGGGGCTCTTTTGGCCACTTTGTGGAGATTTTGCGGGCCTCTTGAACCATCTAGGACGTTGTTAAGACCAACATGGAGAGTATCAAATTATCCCAGTGCGACCTTACCTAAGAGTTGGAGCCTCTAGGAAAGCAACATTAGTAGATGCTGTGCTGCGCTATGCTATGCTATGCTATGCTATGCTCTGCTTTGCTCTGCTTTGCTATTCTATGCTATGCTATGCTATGCTATGCTATGCTGCGCAATGCTATGGTGGGCTAGGCTAGGCTAGGCTAGGCTAGGCTATGCTATGCTATGCTATGCTATGCTGCGCTATGCTATGCTGCGCTATGCTATGCTATGCTATGCTATGCTTTTGCTTTGCCTTCGCTTTTGCCTTCACTTTTGCCTTTGCTTTTGCTTTTGCTTGGCTCCCAGGTAGCGCAACTGGGAGAACCGCGCGTTTGCTTTTACCTTTGCTGCTGCTTTTGCTTGGCTCCCAGGGGACTGGGGGAACCGCCCGGGGCGGGTTACACTGCCCGGCCCCTTTAAGCCACAGAGTAAGAACCCTTCTAGGCAGAGCCTAGGTAGGGAACAAATGCACGTTTCCCAGGGCATTTGGGCGCTTGTTGCCTCTTGGGATCTTTTTTTGGAGCTCTCTTGGGGCGTCTTCGAAGCCTCTTTGGCAGTCTGGAAGCCATCGTGTGTGTTTCATGTGATTCCTGGGCCAGTTGGAGTCCAGCTTGAGCCAGCTTAGATAGCATTTTGTGCATTTGGAGGCTCCAGAGGCCTCGGTGGTGCGTTTACGAGCTTTAGACCCCCCCCTGCCAGTCCCCCCCTCCCCCCCAAACGGGATTTCAGACTCTAGGGGAGGTGGAACGAGGGAGCGGGACAGCCAATCTTCACACACGCCTTGATTCCTAACTCCAACAATAGCTTTCGTAGCGATTATGCCCCCAAACGGGAATACGCTATTCTTTTCAACATCGAATGCGAGTCAGAGTTTGGGCGCAGCGCACATCGCGCTCGAAAGGGCAAAGTACCAGTCTCGCTTCAGCGCCGCAGATGTTCCCTAGAGGTTTTGAACACGCTCGGGCGTGGCGCATGCTTTTCGCTCGCCGACTCGTCAGGAGCTGGACCGTGCGCGAGTGAGCGAACTGTCACCCCGCCTGACCGCCGCAGAGTTGTCTTGAGATTTGAAGAGCTTCGCCCCTCTGCAGCCCACCGTTCTGATTGCCTGCATGGCTGAGTTTGGCTGGTTGATTGGCTTATGGACTCGGCTGTTTGGCTGTTCTGGCTGGCTGATTGTCAGGCTGGCTGCCATCGCCGGCACCCGAGAAAGCGAAGAGTTTCCGTCACACAACCACGCGGCGAGTTTTGCTCGGTTGCTCTTCCAGTGTGGGCGCTGCGCGCCTCTTCGGCACAAGAAGCCCACCGGCAGCGTGGGAACGCTGAGCGCATGCAGCCATTGTAGAGTGTACCGCATCGGTCACGGACCTGTTGCGTGGACTAAGCGGACAGCGGCTGGGCCGGCGATTGACCTCGCAGGCTCGGAGTATGTGCATACTGACCCTGCACATTCTTCATTCCAGTGCTAAGCGATTACGCTTTGTACCGCCATATCACGAGTTTTGGATCGACATAGCCTTTACTCCTTGCAGTTCTCTGCTTCTGCTCCACAAATTAACCCTCAGCCGTTTGTCTGCTCATCATTGGACTTGCTATTGCATTCGCCCGGGCGACACAAAGATAGCAGATGCGCAGTTGATGTCGTAGCAAGTTGTGTGTGAACTAATACATTAGAGGCACATGATGGCAACAAGACGTGCACTTGAGCAGGCGTTTACTCATTCGCGGTTGACACTATTCATTTCTTCAGTTAAGCACGCACACCTAAGCGGCGTTTTCTCGATCTGTCCGCAAATCCACGTGATACGTGGTGACCGTCACGTAGACGCCGCACGCCAACTCGTTCACGGAGTGGACTGAGGATTTGGGACATTTCCCGTGTCAGACTGTGCCCGCATTGCTTTCAGTATCATGGGAGGGTGGGCGGGGATGGGTGGGGCCCACAGATTCGCCCGATCTGCCCGGAGTGAATTCCCCCCCCACGTTCTTTTTTGTTGGGTTTCCTGCGCTTCTAGCTCCCTCTGTTCCTCTATCTTCGGCTTTTCCTTTGATCTTCCTCGATCGACTCGCGAGACTCAAGGCGCCGCGTGACTCCTGGAGCTTTCTGGTATGTGCCCAAGCCACGCTCATCGTCACGCTTGGGTAATTCCCTGGCAAATCTTCTGTCGTCCTCCCCTTCGATCCTGTTGGGTCATTTGTGATCTTCGAAGCTTGTTTGTCTGCCTCCTTGCCTACCCTGAGCCTACCCTGCTCCTTCTGTTCTGTGCGTGCATCAATTCACGCGTGTGTTTTTACCTTTACCAGTTCCTCTCGCAGGACCTGCGTGCTACAGGCACGCTTGCCCTCCTTTCAGGGGCGCCAGCCTTTCCTGGCGACGGCAGCTTCGTTCGTTCGTTCGATCCTCGATGCTTGTTCTCCCTCAGCGCGAGGACTGCGGCTGGGACTCCGGGACAGCCGTGGCCGAGGCCATTGCGGCGGGCATGTGGGCGCTGGCGGCGGCGATGAGCCACGGGCCCGAGGCGCGGGAAGCCGCGGGAGCAGCAGTTGGTTGGGGTGGGGGGCTTTGACGGGGGGCGTGCGCGGACCTCTAGAAGTCTCGACTTGCGCACAGCGGCCCGTTTCTCCAAGGCTGGGCGAGAGACGATAATGATGATGATGATGATGATGATGATGATGATGATGATGATGATGATGATGATGATGATGATGATGATGATGACGATGATAATGATGATGATGCTGATGATGATAATGATGATGATAAGGACGATGATGATGATTATGATGCTGATGATGATGATGATGATGATATGATGATGATTATGATGCTGATGCTGATAATGATTATGATGCTGATGCTGCTGATGGTGATCATGATGATGATGATGACGCTGATGATGATGATGCTGATGCTGATGCTGATGCTGATGATGATGCTGATGCTGATGATGATGCTAATCATGAGTGGTGTGACGATGGCTTCGATGCTGATGATGAATGCTGATGGTGAATGCTGATGCTGATGATGATGCTGCTGTTGCTGCTGCTCATGATGATGCTGATGATGGTAATGCTGATGATGATGGTGGTGGTGATAATGAGCTTGATGATGCTGATGCTGGTGATGATGATCATACTGATGATGGTGGTGGTGTTGGTGATGATGCTGATGATGATGCTAATGATGATGATGATGATGATGCTGATGATGCTGATGATGACGATGATGACGATGATGATGATGATGACCATGACGTGACGATGATGAGGATGTGAAAGAAGTGACGATGATGAGGATGAGGATGAGGGTGATGACGACAACGATCATGATGATGATACTGATGCTGATGATGATGATGATGATGATGGTGTGGATGCTGATGCCGATGCTAATGCTGATGCTGATGCTGATGATGATGGCGGAGATGATGATGATGTTGCTGCTGATGCTGCTGATGTTTGTTCTGATGATGATGATGATGATGATGATGATGATGATGATGCTGATTATGATGATGCTGCTGCTGATGACGACGATGCTGAATCTGATGGTGTCGGCGGTGGTGATGATGATGCTGGTGGTGTTGATGATGATGCTGCTGCTGATAACGATGATGCTGACGACGATGATGATGCTGATAACGATGATGCTGATGACGATGATGGTGGTGGTGGTGATCAGGAGGATGGTGATGATGACGATTATGCGGACGATGATGATGACATCGAGGAAGAGCATGAGGATACGGACGATGATGCGGCTGATGATGATGGTGATGATGATGTTGATGCTGATCATGACGATGATGACGATGATGGTGATCGATTGATGCTGTCGATGGTGGTACTGAATACTGTTGATGCTGACGCTGTTGATGAGGATGATGCTGATAGTGATGCGTGTGATGCTGATGAGTCTGCTGATGCTGATTATGATGCTGATGCAGATGATGAGGATGAGGATGAGGATGATTACGTATTGGGATCGGATGGGAATGTGGATGAGGACGTGGATGAGGATGCTGATAAGGCTGAGGATGAGGATGAGGATGATGGTTACGATGCAGACGGTGACACTGATGATGCTGATGAGGATGTTGATGATGACGATGGTGATTCTGATGATGATGGGGATGGTGGTGATGATGCTGATGATGATGGAGAGGAGGAGAAGGAGGGTGCTGCTGGTGATGATAAGGATGATGCGGATGAGGAAGAGGATCAGGATGATGATGCTGCTGCTGATGATGATGATTGATGATGATTATGGGGATGAGGATGGTGATGGTGATGATGTGGAGGATGATGCTGATGATGTTGCTGATGATGAAGATGGTGATGATGATGATGATGATGATGATGATGATGGTTATGCTGATGATGATGTCAACGACGACGATGATGCTGATGAGGATGATGATGAGGACGTGGCTGAGGATGAGGATGCGAATGAGACGGTTGGTGCTGATGATGATGCTGATGATGCTGATGATGTTGATGATGATGGTGAGGGTGATGATGCTGATGCTGATGCTGGCGCTGATTATTATGGTGACGGTTGTATTTCCGATGATGATGGTGAATGTTGTTGTTGCTGATTATGATTATGATATTGCTGGTGCTGCTGTGGGTAGGCTGAGGATGAGGATGGTGACGACGATGATGATGATGCTGCTGCTGCTGATGATGATGATGTCCATGTGGATGATGCTGATGATGACGATGCTGGCGCTGATGCTGATGCTGATGATGATGTGGCTGAGGATGCTGAGGATGCGGTGGTTTATGCTGATGGGGATGATGATGAGGATGATGATGATGAGGATGAGGACGCGGATGTTGATGGGGACGGGGGTGCTGATGATGATGTTGATGATGCTGATGATGCCCATATTGAGGATGATGATGAGGAGGATGAGTAGTAGGAGGATGATGAACACGAGACAGATGATGATGTCGACGACGCTGGGGATGATGCCGATGATCATTCCGATGTTGATCATGAACATGTTGATGCTCATGAGGAGAGTGAGGATGAGGATGCGGGGGCGTATGAGTGTGATGATGGTGCTGGCGACGATGCTGATGATAGGTATGATGCTGGTGCTGATGTTTGCGATGCCGATGATTACCATGATGATAATGACGATGGTGGTGATGTTGCTCATGATGATGCTGATGATGATGATCCTGCTGATGATGACTGTGATGCTGACGAGCACGACTATGATGACGCTGTCGATGACGGTGATGCTGATGATGCTGATTATGTTTGTAATGTTGTTGATGATGAGGGGGATGACGGTGATGCTGCTGATGATGATGCCGACGCTGAGGATGTCAAGGATGATGCTGCTGTTGATGACGGGGATGAGGATGTGCATGCTGATGATGACGATGATGCTGCTAATTGTGCTGCTGTTGATGAGGATGGTCATGATGACGCTGATAATGATGTTCAGGAAGATGATGATGGTGCTGATGATGAGGATGATGATGAGGATGAGGATGATGATGTTGCTGATGGTAATGATGATGATCGTGGTCGTGATGATGATGCGGATGAGGATGGTGTTCATGCCGATGATGCTGTTGACGACGACGGCGCTGAGGATGATGATGATGATGCTCATATTGATAATGACGATGGCGATGCTGATGGTTATGCTGATGATTTTGTTGATGGTCATGATGCTGAAGGTAATGCTGATGATGTTGATGATGATGGTGATGCTGCTTATCATGATGATGATGATGATGATGATGATGCTTCTGGGGCTGATGCTGATGATGCTTGTTACGATGCTGATGATTCTGATGATGAAGGTGATGGTAATGGCGACAAAGCTGCTGATGCTGATGATGATGATGGTGATGATGCTGCTGCTGATGATGTTGATGCTGATGCTGATGTGGATATTGATGATGCTGCTACTGATGATGCTGCTGACATTTGGTGATGGTAATGATGATGCTGATGATGGTGAGGGTAATAATGATGACGGCGACGATGGTGATGATGCTGATGTGCGACGATGCTAATGTTGACGATGACGATGACCAGGGCGACTAGGATGACGATGACGATGATGATCGGGATGCTGCTGATGCTGATGATGCACACTGATGATGATGATGATGATGATGCTGATGATGATGGTGATGACCTTGATGATGGTGATTACGATGCTGATGATGCTTATGATGCTGATCATGCTGCTGATGATGAAGTTGCTGCTGATGATGCTGCTGATCATGTTGCTGATCATGATGATGATGCTGATGCTGATGCTGCTGATGATGGTGGTGGGTGACGATGGTGATGATGATGATGAAGGCGATGCTGACCAGGATTTTGGTGTTGATGAGGACGATACGGATGATGATGATGATGATGATGATGATGATGATGATGATGATGCTGATCATAAATGTGATGGTGATAATGGTGATGCTGATGATGATCATGATGGTGGTCATGATGGTGGTGATGTTGATGATGACGATGACGATTCTGATGGTGATGAGGATGATGATAATGATGACGATGACGATGCTGATGGTAATGATGATGCTGATGCTGATGATGATTAGGGTCATGATGCTGATGACGATGCTGCTGATGATGATGATGATGGTGATGATGATGATGATGATGATGATGATGATGATGATGATGATGATGATTATGATGATGCTGATGATGATGCTGATGCTGATGATGACGATGATGACTTTTTTCACTCCTGCGGCGGTGGTGTTACCCCGAGAGCGTTTGGGTTGGGGGGCACCCGTCGGCTTCGCTTTCAACGGGGGGGGCTGGCTCGCCTCCTTTTACATCGGTGGCTGTCAAGCGCATGCGTGACAAACGCTGTCAAGCGCATGCGCGACAGACTTCAGGCAGTGTCGTGTCCCTCGCAGCGTGCTGAAGGGCTCGGGTTCGGCATTTGGGCTTGTTTCTCGTGGGGTTCCGATGGTCTTCCCTCCCGCGTCGCACCCGCGTTTCTCACACACCCTCTCCTCTCCACCTCCCCTTTTCTCCTCCTCCTCCTCCAGCTCTTCCTCCTCCTTGCACCCCGCCCGCGTCGCACCCTCGTCCTAACAGACGCATGAAACAAATACGCGGCATTGACATGATTTACGCGGCCACTTACAGCCGTGCACGCAGCACACATACACACAGCCCACATACAACACACACACACACAAGACACGTACGCGGCATTGGCATGCGATACACAGCCTCATACAGCCGCACACATACTTTTCGCGTCGGCGGCTTGGCAGAGTGACTGCGCTGGCGGAAGAGCATCAGACGTAGGACATACAAATGCGAATTAAGCCGCGTTGCACGGTGGAACGAGAGGGAACGCCCGGCGAACACACACATGCACACACATCATAAACATACACCAGACACATAGACGCAGACCGAGTCACCCACATGACACGCTCACCACACAACACATACGTGTAGGATTTGCATGGCGCGGCGGGCGTGGCTCGACACCAGGGGGGG